GTGACCTTATTTTAAAATATCCTTCCTTGATTAGGTGTGAGATAATTAGAGGTTAACGTGGGATGAAATACATTTTTCAAAAAATTTATGCTACTCCCCTTTTAAATAATTAAGAATTCTAACTGTATTTAATGACAGTAAATATAATTGTTACAATTATTTTTGAATTTTGTTAGTTTTCTTTTTAGCTTTAGAATTTTAACACGGTATTAACTGATTGTATTATATATTATTATGTTTTCCCTTCTGCGTAGATATTCTTCTGCCATGCACAATCACATTAAGGGACAACTGGGTGTTAAATATACGGGGCATATCTTTTAAGTGTGATTCAGATATTAGTTCATTTGTAAGGGACAAATGATCTTTTCACCAGGCCCAGCCATCATTGGATTTATTATTATTATTATTATTATTTTTGGTCCTTCATATATAGTAAGACAATATATATGGAGTGGTTATATTTTTGTGCAAGATTTTGAATATTTCCATGGGACTTTACTGTCCAGTCATTCAACTAGACTTCTAATATTTTCATATGTAATTGCAACTTCAATGTGCGGCCATTCAATTAAAATACACTATCTACTTGAATTATTAATGCTAAATTACTAACTCTAATCTTAATTATAAGAGCTAGTTGACTAATTTAAGGAGATTAAGAAAGTAAGTTAAGTTAGTTATTTATAATAAATAAATATTGTTTTTCCTAAAATATCCTTACTAATAAAATTTATTGGTTAGAACTACCATTATTAAAGGGACTACTTTGAAAAAAAAAACGTAAACATGAGAGATAAAGTGGATTGGGGTCTTATAATTAGGATCAAAATAAAAATTAAATGAGATCTTATATTAAGGATCGAAGGCAATATATATTTAATCTTTTAGTTTTATGTATGATTTTAATTTGACTATTTAACTTTAAAAAATATATTTTTAGTCGTTTAATCCTAAAATTATTAATAACAAATAAAATACTAACATATTAAGTTTAGTTTTCAAAATAACCAACCACAATTGTTAAAAAAATTATCACTTAAACCTAAGAATTTCAGAATTAAATGATAAAGTATATACTTTTTAAAATTGAGGGACTACGAGTATATTATAACCTTACATAAATTAGAATTAGATGATTAAATATATATTTTAGCCTACATTATCAATAAAATTTTTTTAACAAGTCTAATAAATTGTAATAATTTCAAGAGAGATATAAATTTAAAGACAAAGTAAATTACTTTATTATATTACCTCCGATCCTTAATATAAGATTTCGTTTGACTCTTATTTTGGTCCTGCATGTAAGATCCTAATCTATTTTGTCTCTCATATTTATACATTTTTTCTCCAAACCAGTCCTTCTAATAATAATAGTTATAGCTAATACACTTAATTAATAAGGATATTTTAGAAAAGACAACACATATTTATTATAAATAACTAACTTAACTTATTTTTTTAATCTTCTTAAATTGGTTAACTAGTTCTTATAATTAGGACTGGGGTAGTAATTTTTATATTTAAAGTTAGAAATATATATATATTTATATATATAAAACTCAAAGCAGTCTCCAGCTCATGAATAAAATGCATAGGCGACACGTAGCTCTATGATAAGGAGGAAGTCAAATTAATGGGGTGCTAATTTAATATGTATTCCATCCCCCGCGCAACAAGTTCACGCAGGGAAAATCACTGTGAAATTTCCCACCAAATAATCCAAATGGCCCCACCACACGTCGTCCCTTGCCGAAACCCCAAGATAACTCCACTCCACTACGAGTTAATACCCCATGCGTTCAATCTTTCTTCCACTTGTTCCCTAAATGATCCTCCTCTTGTCCTGTTTATAAATTATTTTAAATATATTTTATATAGATAAAAAAATCTTAAATTTTATTAGCTCTTATTTAAAATTTAATAACTTTTCAACTTCATTTCTATTTAATATATATGTTATATCTTATATAAACAAAGTCAACACAATAATAAATAGGGGGTAAAATTGTATATTCATACAAAAAATTTCTCTCGGTATCTTATAAATAAGATCAAAAAATATATTTTCTTTCTTATAAATAGAACCAAAGGAGTAATAATTAAGTACAGGTGCCTTCCAATAAAGATTACAGAACATGCAAATTAAAATACTAGTACCCCCCAAAACTTTCGCTTTCAATGTGAATTTCAGACTTCAATGTAGGCTTCCCTGTGAGCGTTGATAAGATCAAATCCACAGCTGGTAAGTGGTAACTGATCAAAATAAACTCAGTTAGGTTCCTTTAGTTTCTTAACCCTGATTAATGAAAACTCAAGTCTTTAAATAAATATGAGAAAAAACATCAAGTGCAGAAGAAATGATTTCACGATTTTTTTTTAAAAGGAAATGAAAAAAAAAAACTAAACATCGTTTTGTTTTCTAAGAATAAATTTTTTTTTTTAAAGAAACACTTAGTTAAGAGCAAATTATCAAACAATTTTTTTTAGAAAGGAAAACTATTTTCAAAGTAAGAAAAAGAAATAACACGTGTACATGCGTCCTTAACTTTGGGCCATTATTGTCCTTGCTTTAATTTGTATGGTCTTGATTCAAGAAGTAACGTGATTCGCGGTTTATAAATATACAGCCAAATTTTCAAAACCAATTGAAATAAGGGAAAATGACAGATAAAGAAGTTCCAAAATGTGAAATGCCAATTTGGGAAGCTAAGGAAATGTAATTACCCATAGGGAAGTCCTTCCCAAATTGGGATTTTGGAAATTCAGTGAAATGACAAAAATGCCCTTTGTTCTTTTTTTTTTAAAAAAAAAAACCCAGCCCCTCACCGGTGGCCGGCGACCGGCGACCACCGCCGGCGACTGGCCTCCGGCGGCCGCCGACCGCCTCCGGCCACCGGCGCCGGCCACCGATGTGGTGGCTGCCGGTGAAGGATTTTTGTGACAAGATTTTTTTTTTTTGGAATAGGATAATATTGGTTCAAAGTGGCGGGGGTGGGATTTGATCCCACAACCCCTTGGCCACTTGGACCAACAAAAGGATGGCCATTGGGCCATCAAAGATTTCTTAACCTTATAATGCAAACAAAAATATAAGTTAACTCTTTTACTGTAACTCCAACTCGTGACAACAATTTATCTGAGGATGACAAGTCTTAATTGAGAAATAACAAGTCTAAATTTGATATTAACAAAGCAACTTTTCCTAATTTATTTAAAAATGACACGTCTTTGTTGAAAAATAACAACAATTTATTCGGTATTTCTTGTTATGTATAAGGAAAAGTTGCTTTGTTAATATCAAATTTAGACTTGTCATTTTCCAGTAAAGACGTGTCTTTTCAAATAAATCATGGTCATTTTTAATTAACGTAGATGCTATTTCTTGTTATGTATAAGGAAAAGTTGCCTTGTTAATATCAATTTTAGACTTGTCATTTTATAGTAAAGACGTGTCATTTTTAAATAAATTATGATCATTTTTAATTAATGCACATGCTGCTATGTTATGTGTAAGGAAAAGTTGCTTTGTTAATATCAAATTTAGACTTGTTATTTCTCAATTAAGACTTGTCATCCTCAGATAAATTGTTGTCACGAGCTGGAGTTACAGTAAAAGAGTTAACTTATATTTTTGTTTGCATTATAAGGTTAAGAAATCTTTGATGGCCCAATGGCCATCCTTTTGTTGGTCCAAGTGGCCAAGGGGTTGTGGGATCAAATCCCACCCCCGCCACTTTGAACCAATATTATCCTATTCCCAAAAAAAAAAAATCTTGTCACAAAAATCCTTCACCGGCAGCCACCACACCGGTGGCCGGCGCCGGTGGCCGGAGGCGGTCGGCGGCCGCCGGTGGCCGGAGGCGGTCGGCGGCCGCCGGTGGCCGGAGGCGGTCGGCGGCCGCCGGTGGCCGGAGGCGGTCGGCGGCCGCCGGTGGCCGGTCGCCGGCGGTGGTCGCCGGTCGCCGGCCACCGGTGAGGGGCTGGGTTTTTTTTTTAAAAAAAAAAAAAGAACAAAGGGCATTTTTGTCATTTCACTGAATTTCCAAAATCCCAATTTGGGAAGGACTTCCCTATGGGTAATTACATTTCCTTAGCTTCCCAAATTGGCATTTCACATTTTGGAGCTTCTTTATCTGTCATTTTCCCTTGAAATAATCATGACGTGAAGGCATCCGCGTCCCTGTGGAAAGTAGGTACTCCCAAGGTTGACAATGAGTCAACTCCAAAGTAGTATAATTTAACTATTTCCTGTCTATCATTAATATAAAATTTAGTTAACTGATTTAAGTAAATTAAAAAAATAATTAAGTTAATTATTTATAACAAATATATGTTATTTTTTTAAAAAATATTCTTACTAGTCAAGTATATTAACTATAATTACTATCATTATAAGGATTACTTAAAAAAAAAAGAATAAATATGAAAGACAAAATAGATTTGGATCGTATATTTATGATTAAAATAAAAATTAAACCAAATATTATATTAAGGACCAGAGGTAATATATAATTTTTTTAAAAAAAATATCGGGAGGTCCCATAAAAGAATATAATTACAAAAAATTCCAATAACAAGTGAGCATAATTGACTTTGTTGTTATCTTTTGATAAGTACTCTAAGGTCATCAGATTTAAACCGTCTATATTTTATTTGAACAGTCTAGATTTAAAATTTTTAATTAATTATTTTTAAATAGAAAAAACTATTTTTTAAAAGAATGATAGTTAAGAGTTTATCTATATTTTAGATTATATACATATTAAAATAATTATTTTGAATAAATAAAAAAAGAAATTAAATCTGAACCATCCAAATAAGATACAGACAATTCAAATCTAATGAGCTTATGATGCTTATTAGAGTGATGAGTATTGAAACTAGTTCGATTATAATGATTTTCTTCAATTTATTTATAATACACTCCTGTCGCTCTCTCTTTTTCTATATATGCTAGTGCTTTCTGATCTCTGATCACTTCCATTTATTCTACAAACACAACCACTAAGGGAGCTCTGTATGCAGAAGAGTCACAAGGCTGCAGCAATATTAACATTCTGTGCACGATGGTGAGCTCGCTTAATTAATTAGTCCCTTTGCATATTTGAATGTCGAATCATAATAATAATAGGATAGATATATAAACATATAATTTTATATATTATTGATATTGCTGACGATATGGGAAAGTGTTGATCAAGTTCTTAACTGGCCCTTCAAAGCGCAGCAAGTAATAGCAATAGAGATGGAAATGTGCTGTGCTAAAGGGAGACGCAAGGCCCTCCAACTTGCTGCTGCTGCACAAGGTGCATGCTTCGATATATATATATATATATCGATCAATCCTTTTAACTTTCCTGTTTTTAAAGTTATATATATATATATATATATATGCATCAGGATGATGTTGATGATGAAACAAAACAGGAGTCGTATCAGTGGAAATGGGGGAAGATCAAGTGATCATGGTGAGAGGAGACGAAGTGGATGCCGTTTGCTTGACCAATTCTCTGAGAAAGAAGTTTCGTTATGCCAAACTCTTGAGCGTGGAGCATGTAAACCCTCCTGCTGATGACAATACTGGCAAAGGTGGTGACGGTGGTGACGGTGGTGATGAGAGTCCAGGAAATGAAGAGGAGAATGGAAAAGATGGAGCGTCACCATCAGGCTGTGGCTGTAATTGCCGTCAGTTCCCTCCTCCACCACCACCGATCCCCACCTACTGTTACGTGCTTTGTGATGCTGATCCTTACCCTACCATTTGCTCCATCATGTAATGCCTTTAACCTTTAACCGTATATACGTATATTCACTCTCCAATCTTAAATATAAAATCTATTTTATAGTATAAAATTTATACTATAAAATAAGTTTTACATTTAAGATCGAAAAAAATATATATATATCTATATTATTTATCATACCAAGTTTGAAGAATGTCTAAGTTGTGTAACTGAGAGGTATCACTTGTTGAAGCAAAATATAATATGGCCGTAAATGGTCCTAAATTCTCCTAAAATGTATTAGATGCCACCATCTATCTGCATATGTTAGATTTCGGACTGAATTAAATGATATTTAAATTAATTAGTATTTAATTTAATATCCATTAAATTAGTTTTAATGCTCTGAGATTATGAACTTCAATTGTTGTGTTACCTTTTTCTTTTCATTGTCGGTGATTGTTATTACTATCATCATTAAATATTATTGACTTAGATTCAAACGTTACGGCTATGTTCTCTGGTAAAAAAAAAAAAACAACGTTACGGCTATGTTATTAAACATTTTCTTTCACACGGACTCGAGTATCTATTATACGGCCCACACAGCCAGACTGACACATTTTTAGCATTTTTCATAAGTACCCTTGTTTTTTTTTTTTTTAAAAACCTATCCATTAAAATTCCCTATTTCATTGTTGGGAAAACCATATTGGAGGTACCTGTATTTTTTTAAATTTTAAATTTGGTACCTATGTGTTTTTTGTTCTTAACTAAATCTTTAATTTTGCTCAATTAATATCATTAATCCTCATATAGAGACTAAAAATGTCAATAGAACAAAGTTATAAGAGCTAATGTTGCTAAAAAAAATAAAATTAAATGTTTAATTAAGAGGAAAAAACACATCTTATCAAAAAAAAAAAAAGAGGAAAAAACACATATGTACCAAATTAAAAATTGAGAGAAAGTAGAGGTACCTATGTTATGGTTTTCCCTTCATTGTTTACCCGAAATCCCGAATTGGGGGATATGAAATATCCACAGTAGATGCATCCGATGGTCGCGAAGTGATTGATATTATACCTCCACCACGGTTCTTCCTTTTTTAACACACATTTGTTATAGTAGTCTTCCGATCTTTAATATAAGACCCATTTAACTAATTTGATTGGATTAAGGAAGTTAAGTAAGTTAGCTAATTATAAAAAAAGTTACACATTTTTCCTAAAACACCATAATCATCTTTATTAATACCCCTCTCCCTCTTCTACTTAATTATGGTCGAGGGAGTATCTATAGGGATAATTTAGAAAAAATTGAATAAATATGAAAATAGATCTTATATTTAAAAATAAAACCAACTTAAGAATTGAGTCCTATATTAAAAACTGAAAAAGTAGTATGAACTGGCCTATGAGTCATGAATCCATTTATAAAGATTAGTGAAACATAGTCATCAAAAAAATCTATTTTGGTGTCATATCAAATGATAAAGAGGATCCACCAAGAATCAGCTTTATGTCATTTGTTTACTTAGAAAGAGAGAATTAATAACAATTAAATTCTCAACTTTTTTTTAAAATAATAAATTGCTAATATCAATCCAATATAATCTTTTTAGCCTGAAAACAATTATAAATTTAGTAGTCCCGATTATAATTAAGACATTTAAATTTTAACTGTAACTCTAAGTGATGTTCTCATTTGTAATTATTTAAGTTAATATTCGTAACGCATTGCAACGTTTTTAATGCCGGTATCCATATTTTCCGGGTCGGACCATGCCGACCGGCTCCGGCAAGCCTTGTTTTTCGTTTCCACATGGAGGCCAAACCGAAACTGCATACGCATCAGGACCGCGGTTGTAAGACAGATGACAAGAAGTAGATCAAAGATCTAGGACCAGAGCTGAGAGGAGAAGGAGACAAAGTTTGAGAAATGGGTACGACGGTGGCGGGGTTGGCGCCGGGTCTTTCTCGGAAGCTGAAGAAGGTCTTGGAATCCAGGACCGACACGCCTGATCTCTTGTCCTCCCTCAACACGCTCTCTTCCTTCTACACTGACAACACTCCTCAATCACGCCGCAACCTCCGATCCACCATCGAAAAGCGTTCTCTCTCTATCAACCTCGAATTCCTTGCTGCCTCCGATGTCGTCCAACTGGTGATGAGCTCTTCGCCGATGCTACAACTTCTTGTGCATTTCACTTGCTTGCATTGTTCTGATCTCATTTCCTTTGTGCGTCTCTTTCTTGACTGCGTTTTAGGCCTTGGATCGCGTCGAGGAAGAGGTGAATGCCGTCGCTGAATGCTGCGACAGGTGTGTGTGAATCTCCTATCACTTCTACCTCTTTTATTATATTGGCTAATGGTTAGTTGGGAGACGCTACTCTTGCAGCAATTCACTATATTAATGCATCATTTTGGGGGCTAAATGAAGCAAGGGATAACTTTGGATTCTGTAGCTAATTTATGCAAGGACTTTCGTTCTGGAATCCGGAAAACTCATAAACTCTTCATGCATTTAGATGCTTTGATGCTGAATGACAGCGTTGTCGAGACAAACTTGAACTGGAGATCAATAAATACATTCTATTAATCTGAGTAGCCCAAATTTGAGTCGCATTGACTTCTAAGGAAGTAATTATCACTTATTTGAAGCTGTTAGGCCATTAAAATTTTCCTCGTACCATATTAAAATTTACCTTTGGACTCGTGGTTTCCATGATGGCAAGTGTATCAGACAGTTAATTACGGTTTGGGACCAAGGGATTCAATTTCTGTGTTTAGAGTGAAATGATATGTTCTGAACCTCCAATTTTGGTTACCAATGCAACTCATTCTGATGATGTCATTAAACTATTCTTATTTCCTCTGACCATATCAATTTTACCTTTGAACTCATCGTAAATCTTGTTATTTCAGTTCAAAGTAATTCAATAATTGGCCAGACTATTTTGTTTGAGGGTTGTTACTTCAGGAACATTAGGTTTTGAGTGATGCTCTGTTTATCCCTTTAACGGTGCCAATAGGGCATTATCCTCTTATGATATTAAGCTTACCTTCAAACTCCTTTTATGTTATTCTTCAATTATAAGTAATTCATTATTTGGTCAGAATATTCCATTTAGGATATTTTTTTAAAAAATGATTAAGGTTCAAACCTTTTACAGGATATCAAAGGCCTTGAATAGTTGCAGTGCTACCACAGGTGACATTATCAGTACCACAGAGAGGCTCAAACAAGAACTTGAAACTACTACACAAAGGCAAGAGATTGTGTCATGCTTCCTACGTGATTATCAGCTCTCCCCTGAAGAGGTTTAAGTTATTGTTTCATATTACAAAGATTAAACTGTCATTTTGTAATTGAAATATGACATGCTCATGCCACCTTCATGCTTACAATAAACCATCGATCATCTACAGATAAGTGCACTTAGAGATGAAGAACTTAATGAAAATTTTTTCAAAGCACTGTCTCATGTCCAAGAAATTCATGCCAACTGCAAAGTGTTGCTTAGGACGCATCATCAGGTAAATTTTCCATTTCCATGTCTGCCTCATTCCTTTCTGACTCTGAGCTGCATGCAAAATTCTACACAATTTGTAATCAAAGGCGTATTTTATATTGTTTTTGGGCCAAACAGAGTATATATCTGAAATGTATCTTTTATCAATTCTAAATACCTACATGGTCTTCAATCGTCACCTTATATTTTTATCAGGGACTTTGATGTTATACTTTGCACCTGAAATATACGTTGAAATTTAATAATTTTAATTGATGCATATATGTTAATTTCTGTTCAATAATTTTAATGGGATACGGATATTTTAATTTCTGTGTCATGGGCTATTCTCTTGGGTTAGATGAGCTGTGTCGTTCCATTTCTTGTTTTGACAAAAGATAGGCCTCATCGCCAGTGAACTAAAGGAACAAAGCTTTCTCCTTCCATTTCTTTATTGTCAATGTTTGTTATATCCTTCCTACTTCTATAATTTTCAGTTTGTGCTGATCTTTTTTCAGGAAGTTTGCTCCATTATTTTCCCGCTACTTTGTGTTTCAAAATTATATTTTGTTTTTTTATTGACTTCAAGAATTTCATTGCAGCGTGCTGGTTTAGAGCTGATGGATATGATGGCTGTGTACCAAGAAGGAGCTTATGAACGCTTGTGCAGGTGAAAATTGCTGTAGTTTTAACCCCATGTTGCTGACTCTAGAAAGTTGTTTTCTTAGGGAGGTTGGCTTACTTGATGATATTCAATATTTGTAAATCTTACCTATAGGTGGGTTCAGGCAGAATGTAGAAAGTTGGGTGACACTGACAATCCAGAAATTAGTGAGCTCCTAAAAACAGCTGTGTACTGCCTCAGAGAAAGGCCTGTCCTTTTCAAGTATTGTGCAGAAGAGGTGATTCCATTATGAATCTGATCAATTTCTCTTAACACTTGACAAATCTAATTTTTGTTGGGATTTGAATCCCGTAGTATTCCAACTTGGAACTGAAATTTTGATATTTGGAAAATTGTCACCTCCACTGCCTAATGGTGTTCACAGATCAGATCTCGCTTTAGAATCTAATGCTGTTAATTTTGTTAATAGAATATTCTGCTTGAATTGAAACTCAGATCGCCCTTATCTTTGTTGATGCATCATAAGATACCAATTTCTGGTTTTGTAGGTAGCCAATATGAGACATAATGCATTATTTAGAAGATTCATAAGTGCTCTTACCCGTGGAGGACCTGGTGGAATGCCTCGACCAATTGAGGTTCATGCTCATGACCCATTACGATATGTGGGTGATATGCTTGGGTGGTTACATCAGGTATGCGTCTGTCATGACAATCTGGTGGATGAAAGCTCGAAGCCACTCCTGCTGCTGGATTTTTGCTATAGCATTTATTATCCCTGTATCTTAATTTTATTGTATTGCTCCTACATGCAGGCCTTGGCATCTGAACGTGAACTTTTACTCATGTTACTTGATCCAGACACACAGGTGGATTCTGGACCAACAGTGGATCAGTTCTCCAAGAAGTCTGAGAATGACTCTGGGAAGACAGAATCTGACTTGACATTTG